TCAAAATTGGAAGAAAATGCAAAGTTAATTGGTGGTTATAATCCATTAGATTGGCAAAGTACTGAATATTGGGGTGCGACATTAGACAGCTTTATATTTTCTTTTACAAATCAAGAAAATATTGATTCGGGATACATTGCAAGAATCAGAAAAAATTTTTCTAAATTTGCTATATATAACCGTATAGACGTTGGACCAGCCTTTGGTGGAGGGTGGAATTTAGGTATTCAAAGTAATATCATGAGTAAATGTAACGGTTATACATATCCTGGAGTGGATACTATTTTTGCTGAAAAAAATAATATTAAAAAAATTCTTTTAGATTATGAAGTATTTCAGGTAATAAAAAAGTAAGATTAATGGCGTAGGGATAGCCATTAATATTATGAATTTGGTATCCAACTTTGGAAATATTATATGTATTTTTACTTTAAATAATAAATTATCACCGCACCGTTCTGTAAAGTTCATGCATAATACGAAACTTTTTATTGTGTTCTCTTATTAATATCAGGAATTCTGTTGTAATTTCAAAAAATGATTTTTCGCATACCCATCAATTTAAAAGTAATGCTTCAAATTTGCTTTGTTAAAAGATGAAATTATGTTTATGGAGTAATTTGAAATAGGAAAGAATTCTTCGCACATCCATTAATTTTAGAAGCAAAGCATCAATCATATCAACGATGACGTTAACTTTTGATTCTCAGTCGGCGGCGATTCGACATCGTCCTAATACTAATTATGCATATGAGAGTTAGAGTTGTGAAAGCAACTTTGAAATGGAATCTACCCTGGCGGAATGATTCATAGCAGATACATGTGCTCGCATTCATTATCAATGTAAAACTATATCAATAATGATCATCAAAAAAGAAATTCAACTTTCATTCTTTGTAAAAAAAATTTATTGTTAATTAAAATATATAGAGAAATAATTTACCAAGAACGAAAAAATTGACAACGATAAAAATGTAAGAAATTGAAAGTCATTATAAAGGTTGTAAAATAACGACGAATCATCGCGCTATAGATAAATGAAATGGTAGAATTCGCTGTCTACGATCATTACTATTATGATTATTCTTGTCAGAGGCTCGATCCAATAATATTATTAAGAGCAGGTTCTGCTCCAGTCCGCGTAAATGCGTTCCTAAACATATTGAACTGTTGCACGAGATAATATTCCACTGTGCATGAAACGATCTTCGAAATTTGAATGAGACATTTCCTAATATTCCCTAAAAAAAAATATCTAAAACGTAGTTACGCTTAAGTACGTACCATATTTCTAGAATTGCCAGACTTCACTTATACCGTTCCTAAGAAGAAAAATTTTTTTTCATGTCTCTTATTTGTTTATTCATACAACAAATGCTCTGCCGATTGCGATTGAGGGATGCGGTGCAAACATGTATGTGTGGTGAGCATACATACATACATACACATGTTTTCAAAATTTACTTGAAGCTTATTGATGTATGGAGGATAAACAAGATGGTGATAGTTACTGTATATATTAAAAAAAATGTAAGTTCGTTAAAAATAATTGAGAATTTTATAAAATTGATTGTACCATGAAAAGTTTTGTCATTAAAGAAGTTTAAATAAATTAATATTAAATTGAATAAATTAAAAAGGAATATAATTTAAAAAATTTTACATGAAGTGGTAAAATATTTATATATATCGTAAAAAAAATTAGATATCAAATCAATGAATATGATCTATCGCAAAGAAGACATTGAAGACATTTTATTAGTTTTAAAACCATTATTATTGACTTACAATTCATATAAAAAATTATTGATCTTACATTTATATTAACGACCCAACCCTCATCGAAATTATATTTAAGGAGTTGTTAAAGTCCCTTAATAGTTCAGGGCCGTTAATCAAATTTTGCTCTATACATTAACTAATCGTCCTTATACAATAAATTTTAAGTTTTTGAAATTATCAGTGAATAAAATTTGTGTAAATTTTATAAAAATCATCAATTATTACCGCTTGGTATCATATTAATCCCTGTTTATGACAAACCTGATAAAATCCAACCAATTTTTTTTCTTTTCTAATTGTGTTCATTATGCTCTAATTTAGAGTTCTTTAATTAATAATAATAATTTCTTTTTTTTTTTTAAAAAAAAAAAAAACTTTAAACTTTTCGGGAATAAGAAATTAAGAAATTATATATTTAAATTTTTAAATAAAGGAAAATTGGGGGGGAAAAAAAAAAAAAGATACCACGAATTCTTTTCACGTGTGTATCTTTTTTTTTTGAAAGTTATGGAACTTTTGTAGAATATCTGAATTTAGAATAAACAATAAAATTATCAAATATTTTTACATAAGCTTGTTGCGGATAATGATTTAGAAAACATTTTTAATGGCGTTATGTTACAATGAGGAAACACCAATATTGAAATGGTTTAGCATTGGGAAAAAAAAAAAAAAAAAAGAATTATTGTCCTGTTTAGTAACGATATTCATGCAGTGTAAAGGTTCTAACACATGATGAAAATTGTGTAACTCGAAACACAAAAATTTGATGGATGAGACATGGTTATATATAGTGATGTAAGTCGCGACTATTTTAATATTGATTATGAACTAATCTAGCATAGGAAAATTCTTAGTGAGAACAAAGTTCCCGTGTACAACTGGTTTGTTTTGGAAATACCAAGAATAACTTCATATATTTGGATAATACAAAATATTAAAGGGTAGACACTTTTTTTTCTTATCATTTGAATTTAGTAAGTAATGCAACAATCAATGATGTGAAATTCTTTCGCAAATAAAAATCTATTATGTGAAAACTTGATTTTTAATTTAAGTGCATATATATATGCAATTAATAATATCGTTTAGCGGTAATGGTATTTTTGGAAATTTCTTCACTAATATGATCATGCTTCTATGTGTAATTTTTTTTTTTTTTTTTTTTTTTTTTTGATTGTTTGAGGCTTCATCTTAGTATTGTTCAATAAATGGTATATTGTAAACTGACTATGAACAGGAATAAACATAAATATATTGAACAACTGTTTTTTATATGTGGTATTTTTCATATCGAATGTTAAAACTTTTGTTTTGGAGAAGGGACGAAAAGATCAACAGGTGCAAATGGTGCAAATGGTGTAACTGTTTTTTTTTTTGTCTTTTCTTATACGGGGTAACAGTTTTCCTTTGACTTTTTTCCTTTTTGAATATCAGCATTATCTAAAGGGGGCAAAGAACGATTTTTTCTTCCATTCTATTTGCATCCTCGTTTAACCAACTCTTTTTTTGAATTAAATTAAAAATTATACAGTTGAATATATTGTAAATTGATCAATACAATATAATTAACGGATCTCTTTTTCAAATAACCGATGGCTGAATATCAACAAATCAAGAAGTTCGACGCTTTACACTCATTTAGTTTAAAAATGGAATTTCGTTATCTCAGAAGCTTTTATTGATATTGTAAAGATAAGAGTTTCAGATGATTCATTATTAAATATACATATTAAATTAAATCTTTTGACTAATCGATATACTACACGCTATGTGATACAAATTAAATTATATAAAGATCATCAAATAAGTTCCTTATTTCAGACAACAACACTACTACTAAAAAACAATGACATTTTTTTAAAAAAAAAAAATGCGACATAAACCACCAAACATCTACGCTAAAAGAAGAGAGGCCAAAATGAAAGGAAAAACCAAACGAAAAAGATATATATTTTTTTTGTTTATTTTAATTTCTTAAAAAGTAATCTTTCCTAGATACAAAATAATACGAAATAAAACTCTTGATAAATAAATAAGTATAGTAAAAGAAGATTTTATTTTATAAAGCATTCAATTTTATTGCTGAATGGAAATTACGCCATTTGATTTTTTAGATTTGAGAATATTCAACATCTCATAAATAAAGTTTTATGAATTTATTTTCCGGTATATCTATTATTAAAGAACATGACGATTAATTAGAAAAAAATTTATTAACATTAATCCTAGTTTTCGTGGAACCCGAGTAGATTTTTCACCCTTTAATTGATCAATTCATATTCTAACCCAATTCCTGTATATTAACAAATAAAAATATTATAATTCGATGAATTTTTCTTCTCAAGAATTCTATACATTGAACGGAAAATAGCCAATGATTTTTTTTTTCTTCGATAAATAATAATGTACTGTATATATCGAATCACAAGTAAAATATAATTTATATTATCAAAAATGTTGAAGTTTCACAAATTTTATTGCGGGAGTATCCTGCAACATTTTAGTTTTAACTAATTTTAGATTCAATGACATTTTTATTCGGCTAAATTGGAATTTTTGGCGTTTGCATCAAGCTATAAGGTTATTACAAAAAAAAATATATAATATATATCAAACAGGATCAACGTTAAATTTCTTGGCACATGCGAAATTGCAAAACAAATCTGAATATAGCCGGAGCGAAATTACCGACCATAGAAACGAATTTAAGAGTTTGATTGGTAGTTCGGTGTTAATCTTAAAAAATTTTTAAAGTTTTTGTTTGTGATTGTGATATCAAGAAATGAAGGGAATTCTTTTCATTATCCAAACATTTTTCTTTGTTTCTAGACTTGAATTGATTGTAGCACAAATGTAGTACAACTAGAATTAAAAAAATTTTTATAGATATCACGACTTGAAAAAAAAAAAATAGAATTTTTGTGTCAGTTTGAAAAGCGAAGAATTCGTAAAAATCAAATTATTGATGTGTAACCCCGTTTAATACTTTTAAAATCAATAATTATCCATTTGTTATCATATTTTATTATATTATATATCATTTTTTTTAAATAAACATAGTTGATTCATCATATGCAGAACTTTATTTTATACCACGAAATATACTTTAATATATCCAATGTACTGCAAACACATGTATTCTAGAATTCGATATCATGAGAAGGCTGTATTGTTGCCATTTAACTTTAACCAAAAAATTTAAGGGTTACAAAAAAATCATTCAATCATTTTTAAAAAGTAAAATTGCGACTTGCAGCTGATGCAAAAGAATATTTTTTTTTTATATTGAAAACCCTCCAATTGGTTCCTTTAATCAACACGTTGGGATTAAATTAAAATAAACATAAATAAAAATCAATTTATATACGATGAGAAATTTTTCGTTTTAAATTTACCTTTTTTTTTTAAAATAAAAAAAAGAAATTTTAAGCTAAATATCTTAATTACAAAACAATATAAATATATTTTCCATTCTTCACATTTAATATGGTTCAAACACGTAAGGACAAATACGATAATATTAATTACCAAAGTGGTAACGACGTAAGTCAAAACGTTTTAATTAAATGAAACTATTATTTTTAAATTAAAAAGGTTATTACATTCGTTTTATAGGAGGATTCAATCATCCTCGATTGCGTGATGGCAATAAGAAATGAAAGAAACGCGTACCAAAGGATTGCCCAAATTTTTCCACAATATAGTGCTCATCAAATTCGGTACCGGTTTCGTAATAAAATTAATCCTTTAAGTAAGATATTATTCTAAATTTTTTTTATATGTATTAAAATTAACTTAATCGAGTTAAAGATTCTTTTTTTTTTCTTTCCATTTAATAGTAAACCATGCGAAACTTAACAGAAGCCAAAAAAAATTTATAGATAATTGGATTTCCAAAAACCAATCGAAAAATGGAAGAATTTCATGGAAAAGTTTAAATAGAGATTTGTGCAAAGAATTTTTTACTTTAAAGACT